TGCGAAGGAGAAGAAGCCGTGTGCAGCGTGGGTCAGGGTCCTCAAGGACTCAGGGTGAGTTCACTGTTCTTCATACTTGGAAGTCTTGAATAGTTGAATTGTTTTTGTTTTTGTTGAATTCTTTAGGTTCAAATCCTTTTGTTATCTTATTTGTTTTTGGTGAATTGTGATTGCGAAGTGAAATCAGAATCTCTTTTAGTTGAATTGTTGATTTGTTGCACTTGTTTGTTGAGACTTGAGAGAGTTGCCTTGCCTACTTAATGTATTTTGGATTTGGTAGGTACTAGGTAGAATTTACTTATAATTAATAATATTATTTAATCAAATTTAAATAAACGACTGGCTGCCAGCCGGACTTGGCTATTACGATCGTTGATTGTCGACAGTTAACGGTCAAAGTCAACCTCCGCCCTAGTTGAACATTCATCCTGGATTCTCCACTGCTCGTGGTAGACGGAGTTTTCTGCAATTTGGATGGTAGTGTTGTTGTCTACATGTAGTGGAGAATGTTGAACTTGGGAGAAACCAAACTCTATGAGGACACTATGTAGATTGATGATCTCATAGCAGACAGCGGATATGACGTGGTACTAGGCCTCAGTGGATGATTGAGATGCAGTCATGCTTCTTACATTTACAAGAGATAAGAGGAACCCTGAGAAACATACACTAGTCAATAGTAAATTTTCTAGTAATTGGGCTGCCTGCCTAATTAGCATCACTATAGACGCGTAGCTAGAGTAAAGATTCAGTACAAAAGAATAAGCCATGAGTAGGTGTGACAAGGATGTATTGTATGATTCGATGAACATCAGCTAGGTGGAGATGCCAAAGTGCGCATGAACTTGCTGACCGTGTGGACAACATAAAAGATGTCTGGCTCGGTGATGGTTAGATAGATACCATCTAGCTTCTGATAAATAATGAGATCATCAAGGAGTTCCCCTTTCGTCACACCTATTTTTCACATTAAGTTTTATAGGGATGTTCACTGAAGTAACGTCTGTGAGCCTTGCTAACTAAACCAAATCCTGAATATACTTCGTCTGATTCAAGAAGAGACCTTGATGTTGGTGAAGCACCTCTAACCTTAGAAAATAGGTAAGTTGGCCAAGATCTTAATATGGAAACTAGAATACAACAATAATTTAATTCATAGAGATGGCCGCCATATCTGAACCAATAATGATGATGTCGTCCACATAAACTAGAAAGAAAACTATGCCATTAGAGGCCCATTATAGGAAAAGAGAGAGTAATATTAACTCTGAATGAACAACAAACCAAGAAGAGTAGTTCGAAATTTTTCAAACAATACTTTAGTCACCTGTTTCAACTATATAAAGAATGCTTTAGTTTACAAACATCTGTGGGTGAGGAAGTAGGCATATTAGAGAAGAGTTTCATGTAAACTTCCTCATTAAGAGCACTCTATAGAATTGGATTCTTAACATTATCTAAGGCCAAGCTTTAGATGCACAAATGGCCAAATGTTTGCACAATTGTCATCTTGGCTATTGGAGCGAATGTCTAATCATAATCTAGGCCACACTATTACTTGTTGTAAAAACCACCAATTGAGCTTATTGGAACCAAGCTTGAAGGAAAACACCTACTTACTCCCAATGGGTTTTACAAATGAGCATGGAATTTCTTCAAGTATGTGAAGTTCTATTTCAGTAGCTTTTCGCCAAGACTCATACTCCACTATTGGTTTATAATACAAAAAAATAGGAATAAAAGACAATATGGCTGTCAAGAATAGAGGAGGAGTGAAACCAAACCTATTTGGGGCCTAGAACTCAAGTACTATGTTTGACAGGGGTTGGTGTAGTTGCTGGAACATGATCAATAGTCGAAGGATGACTTGCAAGGGCTTGGAAGGTGCTTGAAAGTGATTTGATATGGAGCAAGGTCATCTTTGGTACTTAAAGAGAGACTTCAGAGTTATAAAATTTGAAATAGGGTTAGTAAACAATAGTAAAATAAAATAAAATAAAATAATAATAATGATGATGATGATGATGATGATGATGATGAAGAAGAAGAAGAAGAAGAAGAAGAGAGATTTTAGTAGTGAAAAAGTACCGATTTTCTAAAAAAATAAATCAATTTCATTGAGCTATGAGTTCTATATGTTCATGTGCAAAAAGATGAACATTATAGACATAAATAACCAAAGGTATGAATGTCAGAATATTTCAACGAATGACCAAATAACCTAGTAAATGGAGACGTGGTTCAACACCAGAATCGAGAGGGCACAAATGACTCTAACAAAAGGTGCATGAAACATCGAGAAAGATGACGATTCTTCCTTTTAGCCACCACCACATTTTGTGGAGGGGTTCATAGATAAGACCGTTGTGAGTTATAAATAAAAATAAAAACCTTGAAACAAATTAGACACATACTTATTCCTATTATAGAATATAAGAGTGTGTTTGATTATCAATATTTTTTTTATGGAAAATGTGTTTTTTCATGGAAAATGTGTTTTTTCAAATAAATTCTTACTTTTTTGTTGTTTGATAACATTTTTTTCAATGAAAAATATTTTCCTACTTTTGGTTATGTGACCATATTTTTCTCAAAATCAAGGAAAATATTTTCTTTAGAGGGAGTAAGATTTTATTTTCTACGGAATTTACTCTCTTTCTAAGATTTTATTTTCTACGGAATTTACTCTCTTTCTCTCTCTTATCTACTCACTAATGAAAATCGGACAAGCATAACAGTTTTTAAGTTGAAAATTAAATCTATCAAACACATTTAATTGACAATTTTTACAAATAAGTTTTAGGTAATTGAATTATCTAGAAATTATTTTTTTCCATACAAATTTCATGCTTACAATCAAACGCACCATAAGACTTTGTTATTGGCATAAAATTGGGTTTGAACACGTGCATGGAAAAACTTAAAAATAAAAAATACTTCTCTTATAGAGCACATAAAGCAAATCCAAGTGAGTCAGCTAGTTATCTATGAAATTGACAAAGTACTTGTAATTAACATGAGAAGTAGCTAGTGCCATACCCTACACATCACTAGCAAGGATTTATGAATTGCCTCTAAAATATGATGGGGTAAGGTCATAAGCCAATTTCAAGTCGATGAGGCTCTACAATTAGCCTCATAAATACATGTTGGCTCCAAATAGGCAATGACTTATGATTTGCCTCGAAGACATGCGATAACTTGGAGTCAGCTTCAAAAACATATTGAGGGAGGGCTTACAAGCCTACCCCAAAAGGCAAAACTTTATGGCTACCTTTGAAAGATAGCCAACATAACATGATTTATCAAAATTTCAATAGCATTTCCTATATAATATGAACTAAATCAACTTGAAAAGTAATACAATATTCCCAATATAGAAATATAGATAAATTGGGAATGATTAGTACTTCCAAATGCTCGTAGCAATAAGAGAAAATAGTGGGAAATCAAATTTTCACACAAATGATCGCTCGATTAAAAAATTAGTCTAAAATCCTTAGTTGCACTATATAGTACCACTGTGTATCAAATAATGTTATTTATTATGCTATCGTGAATAATAAAAAAGAGGGAATTTAAGCGAAAACGGGCACAGATTTATATGGAATTATATGTTAGGAAAGAGTTCACAAATCAGGTTTTAACTCTGCGAAATTCAAAATTCAAGCTATAAGTTTCATTAGTGTAAAAATTAGGTTTTAACTAATTAATTAAAAATATTTATTAAATAATGATGATAAAGTCACAGTTATAAGATTAAATGTCACGAATTTATTTACTGGTTACATATCATCAAAATTAATTGGCCACAGATTTTTTCAAGATCACAAATCAAAATTTTGATACCTCACTAATTATTTTAAGGTCATAGACAAAAAAATTATAGGTTACAAATGGTCACAAATTCAAAAAATTAGAGGTCACAAGTCACATATTTTTAAATTTGATGGTCAAAAATTATTTTTTTAGTCACAAAATGATCAAATCTTAAACTCACAATTAATACAGTCACAGGGAACAAAATAGTTGGTCCCGATCGACTAAAATACTTGGTCACAAACACTTCCCCGTCCACAACACCATCACAACCACCGTCGACACCACCACCATCACAACCACCGCCGACACCACCACCACCATCACCACCACTACCAACATGAAAACCACCAACTCTCGACAAAAACGAACCAACACACACCACCAAAATCGCCACCACAACGGCACTAACCGAACAATGTATATAATTGGTCACAAACATTACCAACACCATTGAAACCGAGCACCAACTTACCATCACTGTAGCAACATCGTCGCTAGCACCTGCACCACCAACAATTCAACCACACCACCGACACTACCACCAGCCCTTCATTTCCAACACACCACAACTACAATCACCCCTGCCAATGTAAGTACCGTCACTACCATCACCACCACCGCCGTCCTACCTATCCACTGCACCAACATCACGACACCGTCACCAAAACCACCCAAAGATGATAATATTATATGTGATCCCATGCTGGGTGTTCCTGTCAGAAGTCGTGTAGCAAAAGTGTGTGGGATAATTCCCAATAGGCAGTTGTGTGGTTTTGGTGACGTGCAGAAGTGCAGCAGCACCACTTGCAGACGGTGTTCCTAGGCAGAAGTCGCGCCGATCTTCAAAGCGTCGCTGCTATAGTGTGACGTCGTGAACGCTATCGACGAGAAATTTTCGACAACGATTGTAATGGAGAGATGGGAGAGACCGTGAGAGAAGAAGGATAGAGAGAAAAATGGTAAGGAAAAAATTGATTAGGGTTTGGAATAATTTGGGAGAATATTTAATATTTAATTATTATATTGATACTTGATTTATGAATAGTAAATTTCAACCTTGATTTTTGAATTGTGATATTTAAATACATGAAATTATGTAATTTTCCCTATATATGTTATGTAGCCTATTCCGGGCACTTTTCTTGGGCCCGGACTAGGATCACTGGTTCCTTCATTCATTTCGGCCCAAAGAAGGACATCCCGTATTTTCACTTGTATTAATCGAATTGACTTTGGAGTTCAATCCCTAAAAAGGCTATCCTTTTATCTCATGGCACGTTGATTATCGGTTAGCCAATTCAACAAGCGATTCACTGGCGATTACGAGTATGTTTTCGTTGCTTCGATTTTACTTTGTAATCTCTTTTGATTTATTGTTCTCCTCCAGGTTCATTTCTGTAATTTAGGTTTTATAATTCGAGTTCAATTACTGGATATTGCTTATGCATAACGGAGCTTTTTAATTTTTAGTTAGTTCCTTTAATTTAATTAGGAGGAATTCAGTAAAGTTTTAATAGTTATCATGACGAACAAGATGCCTTGAACAATTCAAATCGTGTCTGTCTCTTTTTCTGAACAGCGGTTCTTCTTTTTCTGTCTTCAGTCTTGCCTTTTAGTTTCTGATGAAGGGGATGTCTATAGTAGAAGGCTGCTACCTTCGTTTTGAAGAATTGGCTATCTGGGGTTTATCTAGCAAAAATAGCGAAAATTTTAATCTCAGACTAAGATGCTTATAATTATGTTAATAGTTGCGTTGGGTATCATGTTTAGTTTACCTTGATCATTTACGTGGGGACACCATAACTACTTTTAATTTAGACATTTAACTGTCTGTATGTTTTCCTGTAAATGTTTCAGCTTTTGACATTATAATTGTTTAGGTTACCTTGATCATTTACGTGGACACCATAACTAATTCCAGTTTAGACATTTAACTGTTCGTAAGTTGTCCTGTAAATATTTCAATTTTTTGACATTATAAATGTTTAGTGTGGGAACACCACAAGTGTTTCGATTTGATATACATGAGGAGGAAGTGTTGGAGATTGTACGAATTTGATGTTGAAGAATGTTCTAATCAATAAACATAGTTTTGTACCTACTTCTGTAATATGCAATGAGGTTCTTTTGACTTTAGCACTTTTGGATACTAAGTCAATTTTTGCCTTCAGATGGCATCACTTCAAGAAAGTTTGACTAAATTCAAGAAACAGCAAGAGAAGTGCCAATCAACTCTTACCAGCATTGCAGCTAAATCAGGATCTTCTAAAGCTACTTCTTTAAAATCCACACCCTCAAGCACGCCATCTTCAGCGAATGCAAAGTCTCCAGCTCCTGTTAAATTCTCAAATGATACAGAACGGCTTCAACATATAAACAGCATTAGGAAAGCCCCTGTTGGGGCTCAAATCAAACGTGTTATTGATTTGCTTTTTGAGGTACACTCATCTATTTTTCTATTATTTGTATTTGATTTTGCCTGTGAGAGTGAAATTGATTTTAATTATTTTTCTTCTTTCCCCCCTCTTTTTTGACAATGTAATTGATGATTGGTATGTACTACTCAGCTAAATGTATCAATAATTCCTAGGATCTAAATACTAACTTCATGACCAGATTCAAATCTTCGTGAACACATCATTGTGTATCAATGCAAAGGGTTTGACTGCATTAATCAGGTCTCATAATCAAAAGTAAGCATGTTGAGATGGATTAGAGACGCATCTCAAGATATTGATCTGAAAGCATTTTTTTTACTGATGAGTAATACTTGAAAATGGTGCCATGTGCTTTTGTTTATAGAGATACGAGTGGTAAAGACTAGAGCACTTGATGCTTTATTTAATTAATTGGCATTTTGGTTGTACTGTAGTCAGACTTTCTGTATTGTGATTACATCTGTTAGGCTTCCTGAAATTGTGTTATTTGCATAACTGAGCCTTTCTATAAATTCGTAGATATATAAATTTCCTTATAGTCTGTTCCAAAATGCTGAAAAGGAATTCGTTTTTGTTTTTATCTGCTACAGTCTACAGGTATAGTCCTGGTCTTCTTGATAGGGCCAGGGTGGAAGGGATTTTTTATTTTAATGGAATAGTTGAACCCCTTTGAAATAGGTAGTACCATAAATATCCAAACTAGCGGAGGGTGCTTGATAATATTCCATTCCTTGAAAGCTGGGTTGTCTTACCTGGACCTCCGTCATTTCTCCCAGTCTCGCATTTTGTTATTGTTTGGGCTGAATAGTCTATCTTTGAAGGATGTCATCAAATCAGACTTTTGATCGGGGCTGATTGATTGGCACCAATCCAATCCAGTTTAATAGAGATATCTGGCTATGTTTTAAAGGAAACTACATTGCATATTATAGCTCCATTACAAATTTCGGTTGAATGATTCATTCTACTTCATACCTAACTGCAAATTTGTTTCTAATTCTTTGTGATTAAGGGGATCATTAAAATTTATTTGCTATTATTATATGGGCACAACTGCTGTCCATTGAGAACCCCCTAATTTATCGATATCTTTTGTTTTAAGACGAGGCAAGCCTTGACGCCTGAGCAAATAAATGATGCATGCTATGTGGATACGAATGCTAACAAAGCTGTCTTTGACAGTTTAAGAAACAATCCAAAAGTGAATTATGACGGGAAGCGATTCTCTTACAAGGTATTTCTGTTCACTTCTATTCCATTCTGCTGCCAAATCTTTCTCTTTCTTTTCCAGTAAACCTTTTCTTCTAGGATAAATTGGGTAATGACTTCCATAATTTGGTTGCAGTCTAAACACGATTTGAAAGATAAGAAACAGCTTCTTGTCTTGATACGAAAATTTCCTGAGGGTGTTGCTGTTATTGATCTCAAGGATTCATATCCAAATGTCATGGAAGACTTACAGGTATTGTTACTTTTCAAACAGGTGGTTGTGTTTCAATGGATTTAGTGCAGATAAATGTGAATTTATCCTAACAAGAAGCTAAATTCCACCCCCCACCCCGGCCAAAGATATGTTTTTATTTTTCTGGTAATTTCTAAGTGGAGTTTCAACTTGATATTGCTAGTGAAATAACAGTTACTATATCCCTGTGTTTCATGCTTTGCAATGTCTTTTCTAGTAAGGCAGGATTCTATATTATTAATCTGTACAGTAGAGATGAAGCTAACAACTTGTCCATCGTATCCTTTAATGTGTCCATTATTCTATGCCAAATATGGTCCCAAAATATTTGTGTTCCATAGCAAATTATAGAAATGCTTTGTGAGACTGCTAATATTACAGAGACAACCTATCTCTTTTCAAATACATAATCCCTCTATAAAATAAAATATATATGTATTTTCAGGTTTACCTTTTGCTGCAATGTTTGAATTTTTTATTAAAATATGGAAAAAAAAAATGAAAGTGAAAATGCGTATTTATTTTTGACTTACAGAGTAACAGAGGGAACTTTGTCATAGGTAATAAACCTTAGGGGAAAGATAATTTTTGAAACGAGATGTCGAGTCATTTCAAGAAGTGTTTCTGAAATTCACTCTTTATTCTATAATAATTCCTTGACCTTTGAGAATTATCTTCTCATGAACGATCTTTTCGTAGTCTTTGAAAGCTTCGGGCCAAATTTGGCTACTATCAAACTTCGACTCACAGGAGGACATAGCATATCCAAATGATCCCCGAACAGTTATTAAAGTTGATGACGATCTGAAACAATTATTCCGGGGGATTGAACTCCCACGTGATATGATTGATATTGAAAAAGATCTTCAAAAGAATGGAATGAAGCCGGCTACGAACACTGCTAAGAGGAGGGCCAATGCACAGGTCCATGGCATTACTCCCAAGCCCAAGACAAAGAAGAAAAGGCCCGAAATTAGCAAGAGGACCAAACTTACGAATGCCCATCTTCCAGAACTCTTCCAACACCTCAATGTCCCTGGCTCTTGATTCTTGTTGTAGGTATAGGATGTTGAGATACTATTACTGTGATGAGTTCTTGGTATATTTATTGGGAATGTGCAGCATCCACTTTACGATGTTCGACTACCTGGATATTTTACTGCACGTCTTATTGGTTGCTAGAACCTGACTCAAGGCTCAGCAGAGGTATAACCTTGTTGCACTGTAACAATAACTTGTTTTAGTTTCCTGGGTACTACGAATTGCTTTGAGGGTGCAACTGGTTCTGTTTTCAGCAGAATGTGTTGTACATTATTTTTTCAAACACGTCTTTTGCAGTCCTGAGTATATTGGATAGCATTGAACCGATTCATGAACGTTCACTTGGTCGCTCATTAATGTTTTGGCAAACGGGTTTTCAGAAATGGTTTGGTTTTTGCTCGAAATTACTAGTGCTGGAGCTAAATAGTACATTAGAATGAGTCAAGGGTGCAATCTGAGATTCAGAAGTAATCGATACAATTAGCTTTAATTATTGTGAAAAATGTCTATTCCTTTCATTTTTTTGACATTTTCACCTTTAATTACACTTTTGATTGTCAAAATCATCATTTATATTTATTTTCATCCAATTTTTTAATAAAAAGCTAAGAGATGACGAACACACCTGTCTAATTAAATACAAAAATAAAAACAAAGAACTAATCGCAATCATAATCCTAAATTTTATTAAAAAGTGCAATCTCCAATAAATTATTAAAAGAATTACAAAATTAATTTATTTTTAAAAAAAATTGTAAATGAGTTTCGAATAAATTATTAAAGTATTAGAAATTAAAAAATTAAAAATTTTATTTAAATATGATGGCATATTTGTGATTTTATAGCTTCTATTGAGAAATTGGATAAAAATGGGTAGAAAATGAAGATTTGCGCAATTAAATATGTAATGAAGCATGAAAGTGCACAAAAAAAAAAAAAAAAAAGGAAAGGGAAAATTTTGGAAAAAAAAGGAAAGGAATAGAATTTGTTTACATTGCAAAAAAAAAAAAAAAAAAAGGATAGTGACATATTTTGCAATAATAGTGAAATGTAATGTAGGATTTTATGTGTTAATTACTATTTTAATAATTTATTTGAAGTTATGTTCACTTTCTTAAAAGAAAAAATTGGGACTATGGCTACAATTAGATCTTTTTCTTTATTTCTTTAAATAGAAGGGTCTATTCATTTCACGACTTTGAATTTAAAAAATGGATACAAATAAACTTTTGCTTAATGAAAGGTGGAAATAAGAGTGAAAATGCTAAAAAAAATAAAAGGTAATGACGTTTTCTATAATAATAGTGAAAGATAAGAATGTTATTTTCTAATTACCCTTCAAACCAAATCCTACTCTCTTCGTCCTATTTATATAAGTTTAGTTTCCATTTTTTCTTGTTCCAAATATGTAGTCTAATTTCTTAATTTAGAATATTTGTTTCGTACATTTACTAATTTACTCTTATTTAATTTGTCTAGTTACAATCAATTTTTCTCACTTAATTTGCATTTTCCAATAATCGATCTATTTCTTGAAATCAATTTTTTAATTCTTTACTACAAATTGTTGAAAATTAAATAGGAGTAAACTAGGAAATTTTTTGACAAAAATTACTTTTTCAATAATATTAAATAAGATTTTTTAATCCGTGTTAAAAACAAAACAAGTTTATATAAATGGGATGGAGTGAATACTATATACAGGAAAACAAAAGATTAAACCCCCTTTTGGTCCCCATTATTTGAAATTATAATATTTGAAATAGTGTTTTTTTCTTTTAAGAATGCGTTATTAAAAAAGTAGAAAAAGTTTTGAGTTTATGTGTAATATTGTTTTATTTTAGAATTTGTAGTTGATTAAAAAGGAGAGAAAATGGATTATAATTTTAATGGGGTCAAATGTGTATTAATACTTTGACTATTTGGGATTGACTTCATGGCCACAAAACAACATTTTACATCAACGTAAATAAACAAGCAATATAATTTCTCTAGAGTGATGATGATTGATAGTTGGCTGGCTCACTACCAAACTCTTTAATAAAGTTTGAATGTATTTTTGTTGATCGGAGACTTTAGATAGATGACATTATTCTTAACAAACTATGAGTTACGTTGATCAAAAAATATAAAATTTCGTGCTAAGATCTTCTGTTGATGTGCGAAAGGCAGACTCTTGATACCCCTACCAACACAATGAGAAAACAACATTAAAGTTAGATTTCTGTATTTATGCTACTTTTTTTCCCCAAGGGTCATAATGGGTTGCAATCCTGTCTCTATTTTTTTTTTTTTTTTTCAAGAATTTCTTTGACTAAAGCTTCGTTCGCTTTGATTCTCTATGTGTTTGAATCTATAAATTAGATTATATGTTATCATGGTATCAGAGCCAAAACATATGTGTTGAGGTTGCTCTTTTCGTTCAATCCATTTTCAAACAATTCGTGTCACCAAAATAATAGAAAACCCTAATTTTCCGTTGAGCCGCGATTGAAAATATATAATATTTTTCAAATTAACCCTCTGTTCGGCGATTGGTGACCATATTTGGATCCCAGACAACGAGACGATCCTACCCGATCGTCGCGTGTATGACCACGCGCTCTATTTCGGTGGCGCGTGAATGGAAGTTGCAGAGGTTCTGGCGGCGCGTGAGGAATTTTTTGGCGACGGTTCAACGGGACAGTTTCTTCCTTGGTGAGTTTCCGACATTTTGGTGATATTAGTTTGGTCATACGTGCACTGTACGATATATTCCGGTGGTAGTTCGTGTTGGTACGTTGGTCGTTGTTGAGTTTCTTGGAATTTGCTGATTTCTTTTTATTAGTAGTTGATTATTTATTGATTTCATGATGGCAACTAGAAGGGATGATTCACTTCAATCCATTAGTGTTGGATTAAATGGTAAAAATTACTCATATTGGAGTACTGTGATGAGGAATTTTCTTAAAAGAAAACGATTGTGGAGTTATGTTAGTGGAACTATCGTGAAACCTGAGACCATTGCTGAGAATTATGTGACAGAGTTAGATAATTGGGAGTCAAACAATACGAAAATTATCACTTGGATTCATAATTCTGTTGAACAATCCATTGGTACACAGTCAACTAAGTTTAAAACAGCGAAAGAAGTTTGGGGTCACTTACAGAAGTTATACGCTAAGTCTAATTTTGCAAAACGATATCAGTTGGAGATTGATATACGAGCCTTACAACAGAAGGATATGAGTATTCTCGAATTTTATGCTGCTATGAATTCAATTTGGGATGAGTTGGCTCTTACAGAATCAGCGGGATTGAAAGCATGTGAGGAATATATTACTTTTAGAGAGGAATGGCAATTAGTTCAATTTTTGATGGCACTTCGCAGTGATTTTGAGGAACTTAGAAGCTCTATCTTGCACCGCACTCCATTTTCATCAGTTGATTTGGTGGTTAGTGAACTTGTAGCCGAAGAAACACGTTTGAAATCTCTTGCAGGAGAAGTATCCTTTCTTTCATCTAACACTTCAGTGTTGGCTGTACCTTCTCGAGCATCCACATAGAATCAAAACAAAGGTTATGTACGAGTTGCTAGTGATGAGTGTAACTTTTGCAAACAAAAGGGACATTGGAAGTCTCAATGTCCCAAGCTATTGAAGAAGCAGCAGCCACAACCACGACAGCGATCATATCATCCCAATGCTAACGTAACTGCTACCATGCCTTCTAATTACTCGTCTATACTTGGAGCACCACCTTCTTCTAGTCCCATGTTGATTGATTTAGCATAGCAGTTTCAAAAGTTTTTAGCCACACAGCTACATGCTATGTCAGCCTCTACTCATATAGGTTTGTCATCTCAGAGTCACTAAGGTATTTCTTCCTAGTGGATTTTTGACTCTGGTGCTTCCAAACACGTCATCTAACTCAAAATTCTTTAATGACTTGCATCATTCTAACTCGTCTATGTCTGTTATGACTGCCGATGGCACATCATGGCCTTTAGCAGGTGTTCGTTCTGTTAACACACAAAATTTATCACTTTCAGACGTTTATTATGTTCCAACTCTTACCTTAAATCTTATTTCTATTGGCCAATTGTGTGATTCTGGATATCTAGTTCAATTTTCTTCTACTGCTTGTCATGTACAGGATCCTCGATCTCAGAAGTTGATTTGGATAGGCCATAGACAAGGAGGGTTATATGTTCTAGACAATCTGAGACTCCCATATGTTGCAGCCTCCAGTGTTGACTTGTCATCTTTTTATTTGAATTCATCATCTTCTAGTTTTTATTTGTGGCATTCTCGCCTTGGACTTCTTTCCGCTAATCGTTTGAAATTTTTAGTTTCTAAGGGTCATTTGGAAAATTTGCAAACTCATGACATTTCTTATTGTAGTGGTTGCAAATTAGCTAAATTTTCAGCTTTACATTTTCCTTGTAGTGTTTCTTATTCTGTTGCACCATTTGATCTTATTCATTCTGATGTGTGGGAACCTACTCCTATTACCACAAAAGGAGGGTCTAGATATTATGCTTCTTTTATTGATGATTATAGTCGTTATTGTTGGGTTTATCTTATGAAACGACGTTTTGACTTTCTTTCTATTTATCGTTCTTTTAGAGCACTTATTAATACTCAACATTCTGATGTAACTAAGTGCTTTAGATGTGATTTGGGTGGAGAATATATTTCAACTGGTTTCTCTGAATTACTTGCTTTTGATGGCACAATTCATCAAACCTCGTGTACTAATAGCTCACAACAAAATGGTGTTGCTGAATGAAAGCATAGGCACATTGTAGAAATTACCCGTTCCGTTCTTTTGTCTGCCAAAGTTCTCAGTGAGTTTTGGGGGGAGGGGAAGCAGTTCTTACTGCTGTTTCTTTAATTAATAAGAGTAAAACCCTTAGCAACCAATCTAGCCTTGTAACGCTCAACTGAACCATCAAATTTGGTTTTAATCTTATAAACCCAACGAGAACCAATAGCATGTTTACCTGGAGGCAATGCAACTAAGTCCCAAGTGTCTATCTTATGTAGAGCAGAAAGTTCATTAGCAATAGCCTGTTGCCCAAAAAGATCCAGAATACTTCTTTATAGGAAGTGGGTTCAGATAGCTTATGAATAAATGTTAGAAAACAACAAAATGACTCAGAATAACATGAATAAGCAAAATCAGCTAACTGAGTGGACTTACGAATACGTTCAGGATATCGACGAATAGGGTGAGCAGAAGCTGGATCGACAATCTCAAATGGTGCTTGGGAAGCCATAGAATCAGGAGGAGTATCATGAGCTGGTGCATGTGTACCTATAGGGCATGAAGAATCAACAGGACATGGGGTATG